AATTTCGTAGGATGAAGCATTCGTAAGTAGAGGTTCCACTGTACTAACAAGTACAGTAGCTCCTTGCTATCTGCTGGGGTTTGGTTCCAGGACCCCCTGTGGATAACAAAATTTGTGGATGCTCAAGTCCTATTGAATACAATTGCATAGAAAAATGGTTTCCCTTATATAAAATGGCAAAATCAAGGTTTGCTCTTAGGAATTTATACTTTTAAAAAGTATTTTTAAGCTGTGGATGCTTGAATTTGTGGATAAGGAGAGCCAACTGCATTAGCTATGCTGCCATTACCATCGTCTCCAAGAAATCTGCCACTAGTGTTATTCCTCACTACTGCTGCTGCTCATTAGCTTTTTAGTTTGATTCCTCTGCAAAAGCCTGTCTGACATGGGACAGCCTACCAGCAGCAGTACAACCATCAGCATAGTCTCTTGCTTACAGGAGCGCACAATCCCACCACCATAGGAAGGTAGTGCCTTCAAATGGGACTTTCATGGTAGCCATTTATTTAAACAAAATATATTAACAACCCTCCCCGTTCATGGACTTGGAGTCCGCGGCCTTGGTCCTTTGTGGACCACGAAATGGGGAGGAATAAAATGGCGCCCACGGCAAAAGCATGCAGCCACTGAAAACAACGGTCCCCCAATATTTGCGATTTTTCCAATTTGCAGGGGTGTGTGTGTCTGGAACAGATCCCCTGTGAATTGGAAGGGATGACTGTACGTATTTTGCGTAATCTCAGTTTCTTGACTGAAAATGAAGCAAGCTTTGCCTGATCTCAATAGTCTTGGAACTGTGCCAGAAGACTAACTGCGTTATTATCTGGTAGTGGTTTGAGTTTCATATCCTGGTCATGCTAAAGTGCAACGAATAGACTGGTCACAGGGTGCTAGATAGGATAGCTTCTTTCCTTAAAAATAACGCGGACCAAGGAAAAAGAATATCTGCTATTATAAAGAGGCAATATGCTATTTCTTAGTTCAAAACTGCATTGTTGCATTTAAATGCATTAAGTTGCATTTACGTAAATAAGTTTTATTAGTTACAATTAATAATAATAATAATAATAATAATAATAATATTTAGTTTTTAAGGGATTTGGATTGTAAGCACTTCTGTGCAAAGTCATGAAACATCAATAGCTTGCGAACAAGTTGTACTGACTTGCATTAGTCATACTCCAGATCTGTACATAAAATAGATTAGAATAGGAGGTTTTATAAATATAATCAGCATTCTGTTCTTGAAAGGACTTGCTTGACTCAGCAGCAAGATAAGCACATAGAAAAATGTCTGCAAGTGTGGGATCTAGAATCATGCAAGGTAACCAGTAAGTTATCCCAATTAAACTGCTACAATGGACCCAGACGGAAGCAACTATAATATGCCAACAAATATGGAACACAAAGAGGTGGCCAAAAGAATGGAAATTATCAATATAATGCTGAACATAAAGAAAACTAAAATAATGGCCATAAAAGAAATACATAAATTCAATGTAGACAATGAGGAAATCAAAATAGTCAAAGAATTCCCATACCTAGGGTCAAACACTGAACCAGAGTGGTATCTATAGTCAAGAAATCAGAAGACCAGGGTTGAGAAGGGCAGCTATGAAAGAACTTAGAGGGGCCCCAGAAGAGAAAAGATATACAAATGAGCACTAAAGTTAGAATCGTTCAGGCTACTGTACTCTCCATCACCATGTACAGATGCTAGAGTTGGACAGTAAAGGAAGCAGACAGAAATAAAATCAATTCATTTGAAATGTGCTGCTGGAGAAGTGCTGAGGATACCATGGACAGCCAAAAGGACAAATGAATGGGCCATTGACCAGCCCAGATCAAACCAGAAATCTTCCTGGAAGACAAGATAATCAAATTGAGGATGACATACTTTGGTCACATAAAGAGAAAGCATGGACCATTAGAAAAAACAATAATGCTAGGAAAGGTAAAAGGCAGAAGAAGAAGAGGAAGACCACATGCCAGATGGACGGACTCAATCAGGGGAGTCACAGGCATGAGTTTGCAGGGCAGTGGAAAATAGGGACTCTTGGGAGGTTTCTCATCCACAGGTTCGCCTTGAGTAGGAGTCAACTCAAGGGCAGCTAAAAACAAGAAAAAAGTTAAATTTAGAGAGCCAGCATGGCATAGTGGTTTGAGTGTTGGACTACGACTCTGGAGACTAGGGTTCAATTGCCGCTTGGCCGTGAAACCCACTGGGTGACCCTGGGCAAGTCACACTCTCTCAGCCTCAGGGGAAGGCAATGGCAAATATCCTCTGAATAAATCTGGCCAAAAACCCCCATGATAGGGTCACCTTAGATTCACCATAAATCAGAAATGCCTTGATGGCATACAACACACACTCACACACATTAAATTAGCATATTTCCATTCTTTAATTCAGAAAATATATTTTAAGAGACATGGAAAAGGAAAGTCAGAAAGTGATTCTAAGGCCTAAGTAAGGTACATCAGTGCTGGAGAAAAAGTCTGCTGTGAAAAAAAAAAGAATATTTTAAATTCTTAGGAATTTCAAGTTATGTTAAATGTATTCTGACCTCAAACATCTTGACAGGTTCTGCTGATAATGATACCAGCTAAAACACTACCGGGAGATACAAGGAACAAGTGTGATAGGCTTATTGGGGAAATGGTGCTTGCATTCTGCCATGTTTTTAGCCCCTTCCTGGCCGAGGAGAGGTCTTTTTTGATAACAGAAAGTGACCAGAAGTCATTTCCAGTTTTAAAAAAGGCCTTTTCTGGTCCAGGAAGACATAATGTGGCAAAAAATGCCCCCTAAACCTATACAGGTCATTTGGGGGCAAAAAAAAAAAAAAATGTTTTACAGGGCCACTTGGAAGGGCCACAAAACAGCCCTGGAGGCTGCATGCAAACTGTGAACCACACTTTGCCCACCTCAGCTCTATACCAGCCAATTGCCTGAAGTTGATAGGCATTCGAGTAGTGAAATACATTTGTCTCTCCACATTTGCTAGGGTTAGGGGCACAGAACCCCCATGGATGTGGAAAAAACACAAATAACAAAAACACTATGTGAAAACATCTCTCTAGGTCCTCCAGGGCAACTCTGTGATCAACATCTGCCAGATATTGACCATAGAATTGTGCTAGAGGAGCTACAAATGCCTAGAGGAATGTTCTTTCTAGGGACCTTATCACACGCGGGCCACAAAGCGATAATAAAGTGA